GGGAAAGCTGGTAAGCTGTGGGCCCCTCTCCCCATTTCCTCCCACTGCCGAGCCCTCACCTGGTGACTGCAGTGGGGCCCCAGCCCTGTGTCTCCACTGGATACCTCTGCTTCATTCTGCCCCACCCTATGCCACCCAGAGCCCTTTGGGGCTCTCCAAAGGGGCTGTCCTCTCCTTTCACCCAGTCAGAGAGAAGAAGCAGCCCTCAGCAAGCCTGCCTCTATGGCCAGAATTCCTCTATCTGAGCCAGCCGCCTTCTCCTGGGTTAATCATTGCCTCTTTCTCCCTGGGAACGGAGCTTGGGAGGGTGGGGGACGTACTCCTCCCAGGCCAGGGGACACTGGATGGAGCTGGGCTCAGCAGCGACGGGAGGATGCAGGCAAGCAGGCACGTGTGGTTCACGGGACTGGCCCCAGCAAGAAGCTGGAACTGAAACAGCTGGGAACAGGGCTTCCTTGTCTCAGAGCTCACCCCGCCTGGGGGCTAGCCACCTGCCTAGCCTCCTGGGGTGTCAGGCAGAGCTGGGAGCCAAGGAGGCAAGGTGGCGGGGAGTGAGATGGGTTCCTGCACTGGGTGCAAAAGACGGGGGATCCCAGAGAGGCCCTGGATGGGGCTGAGGTCCTGAGAGAGGGGCCCAGCAGGATCTACCCAGCCACCCTTGAACTAGCATCTCCCCATGCCTGTTTCCCCCCTCTGAGGAATCGGAGTCCACAGCAGCAATGCCTCCTGCTCAGTACCTGCTAGCACCTGCCCTCCTCTGCTTCCTTGCATGATCCTGGACCTTTTGTCCTCTCTGGAACCCAGGGTAAACCTTGCAGTAAAGGAAGGGATGTCTCTCTCTGGACTGGACTGTCCTCCACACCCCTTTCCTCTCGAAGATTTCCATGGCACCTGTCACCATGGCAACCAGGGGGATCAGGTGTCAGGCCCTTGCCCTTCCTCCTTTCCTCCCTCCCGGGTGTGGGTAACCACAGCCAGATGTGCACTCTAAGTTTTTCCTGCCTGGGGCAGCTGGGGAAGGTGTGTGTGTGGGGGTGGGGAAATATTTCTAAAAGGGACATGACCACAGCTATGCTCTCCTGCCCCCCAAAAATCTCTCCTGGGACCAAACCTGCCCTGAACCTCCTGCACTAGCCCAGAAGGCAGGGCGCCTGTAGGGTTTCCAAGAGCACCACACCTAGATACTGCGGTTTGTCCCCTAAGCCTCTTCTTGGTGGCTTTACCTCCTAGAAGGGTGTAGGATGGGGCCCTTCCTAAGCAGATGGGGACCTTGGCTCTGCTGGACCCCTTCCAGCGTGGGTTGGTGGGGAGATGTCTCTCCTGTCTCTCCTCCCCGGGGCTTCAGGCCACCATGGTCAGGATTAATCATTAATCCTTACTGCCCTCCAACCGGACCTCAGCAGCCAGCTTTCTCCAACTCCACCCACCACACCTTCAGGGTCTAGGGAAACCCCTGAAAGGGGGGTCCATGGAGGAAAAACCCAGGTCCTCTTGGCACCAATCTACTGTCCCCTTGGCCCCCAGCTGGACCTCCCAACCTTGGAAGGGACACCTGGCTCCTGGAGCAGTAGCACAGGCACCCCTACACCTTTCTGTCACACAAGTTACCGCAGCCCGCAGGTGGGGGTTCCCAGAGGGTGGATTGAGGCATAGTGTAAGCAGGTGGTGGGCGCCAAAATGTACCTTGTTGCCGTCCTCCTCCGGCTCAACGTGGCTGGCTCGGCCCTGGGCCCCGCCGCCCGGGGCGCTCATTGAGCGGCGGGGCTCACCCGCCCGGGGTTCCCGCTTGGTCAGGCCTGGTCCATGCCCCCGCCCCGCCGCTGCTGCTGCCGCCGCGCCCGCTCTAAGGCAGGTGCGGCCGCCAGCCTGGCCCGCCTGCGGCGCTGCGGCCAATGGGCGCCCCAGGCCCCGGGCCCCCTCCCCGCGCGGTCCCAGCCCCTGCGCGCTGGCTCCAGGACGCACAGAAGCCGCATTCAGCGCACCAGGGCGCACTGCCGCACCCCCGCTGCCGGTCCAACAAGGCCCGTTTGTCTGGGGCGCGCCAACGGGACCATTGTCCTGCGTTAGTCGGCCCTTTGGCTGGGCCGAGCCCACAGCTTCGGAGGGGACTCAAGTGCCTGGGACTTGGTGGTGGTAGTGGGGAGGGGAGTCGAAGATCTAGGGAAAGGGAGCCTTGACTAGATGCTTAACTTTTGTTGGAGAGCCTTCAGGACCCTGCAGAAGGTGTGTGGCCTCCTGCTAAGGGTCAGTGCAAACTGGGGACATATTGTTGGCACCCATAGGAGTGGGAACGTGCCAGGATCTCTGAACAGAGCTCAGATGAGAGACTAGCTCGCCTCTTCCGGGCACACACATCCAGGCTGAGAGCGGAAGTGTCAGGATGTGGGTGCCCCAGCCAGCACCCACCTCTACTTCTGGGCTGAGGCATTTCTACCCAGCAGGGCAGGATGGAGATGCCTGTCTGCAGCCAGGGATTCTGAACCCTGGCTGTAGGCAGCGTGGACTTAGCTGGCCGGCCGGTGGAGCCTGGGCCGCGTCAGAGCCTTGCTCCCCCGCCATCACTGGACAACTGTGGAATGGGGAAAATTTCATATCAACATGGCTGCCAGGCATTCCTCCCTGATGGGCCTGTCCCTCTGACCCCGTGGTCCAGGCCAACACATGTGCCCAGGCCGACTAGGGCAGGCCTGCCGGCTCTGCTTCTAAAGCTCCTGACCCTCTGTTGCTGTCTCTGAAGCCCCATGACCATGGGCATACCAGGGTGGGGATGAGATGCAGCCCTCTTTCCTACAGCTGCAGGAGGACCTGGCCAGCTGAAGAAGCTGGGAGCCAGCAGAAGCTCTTAAAAAAAAAAAAAATTCTACTCCAGCTGTAGGCAACAGCCTAGGCTGCATTGTACTTAGGCAAATGTTATACTGCTGGGAGAAAAGCAGCTAATAGCTGGCGGGCATCCTGGGCCTGGTTAATGCCAAATTTGTGTTAACTATATGTGCCAGCATAGTCATCTAGTTTGTTTTAAAGATATGTAGGGAGCAGACTCCAGCACACCAACAGGATCTGGGGACCTGCACACAGAGTATGCATGGGCCCTGGGTAGGTAGGCAGGGCCCAAGGCTGGCACAGCACACTGCCAGAGGACCAGGCATGGGGGGGTGGCTGTGGATTGCCCAGGGAAGCGAGTCAAGATGTGTGGGAAGGAGGACTGCTGAGGGAGAAGGTGTCAAGTGAGGGATGACTTCTGGGACATTTCCACCGACTTGGCTACATTTGCAGGTAAGTAAGGGGGCCCGAGACCAGGTGGTTTAGAGGAAGGAAATCTGAGGATCTTTTGGGGCCAAACCAATATGCCCACTCATGTGGGAGACCCGAGCTGGCATTGTTGGTATCAACCATTGCCTATTGGCACACACAAGAAAGCTAAGGGGACAGAAAAATTCAATCAACTACCTGAGCTAAATGCTGGCAGTGCCTGGGCAAATGGAGTCTCTAAGGTGGACTGTCAGCCAGTGGAGTCTGGAGAGATTTCATCGTGATTGGAGTGGCAGGATCGGCAGCAATATAGAACTGTTGAGTTATCAAAACCACTTGAGCAGGACACTTGGAGGATGCCCCATATTGGGGACACTGGGATGGTTGGGGGCTGGGTGAGGCTTCTCCCCTTTTCTCTCCCCTTCCCCCAGATACAGGAAGGAAGGAAGAGATGTGAAAACAATGGTCTTATCCACTTTCCTCTAGCCTTTGACCCTTCACACGGTAATCAAATATGTAAAATTCATCAAAAATAAAATTCATACAAGAAAAATAAAATCAAATCTTAATAATAATTTTAAAAAGTAGCCTAGCAGCTAAAGTCCCTGCCTTACACACACCAGGATCCCATATGGGCGCCGGTTCGTATCCTGGCAGCCTCACTTCCCATCCAGCTCCCTGCTTGTTGCCTGACAAGGCAGTCAAGGACAGCCCAAAGCCTTGCCACCCTGCAACCAAGTGGGAAACCTGGAAGGAGGCTCCTGGCTCCTGGCTTTGGATTGGCTCAGCTCCAGCTGTTGTGGCTGCTTGGGAAGTGAATCAGCAGACAGAAGATCTTCTGTCTCTCCTCCTCTCTGTATATATGACTTTTCAATAAAAATAGATCAAAAATAGATGAATAGAAGTATTTTAAAAATTTCTATTTGAAAGGAGGATTTACAGAAACAGAAGAGAGATATTCCATCCTCCGTTCACTCCCCAAATTGCTACAATGGCTGGAGCTGAGCTGATCAGAAACCAGGAGCCAGGAGCCGCCTTCTGGCTTCCCATGGGGTGGCAGGGGATCAAGCAATGAGCCACTTTCCACTGCTTTTCCAGACCATAAGCAGGGCCTGGAGTAGAAGTGGAGCAGCCAGAACTTGAACCCATGTCCATATGGGATCCTGGTGCCACAGGCCAAGAATTAGCCTACCATGTCACTACGGTGGCCCTGTCATGGAAGCTCTCGACTTCCCTGCCATTTGGACTGGCTGGTCCCCCTTTGTCCCTGAAATACTCTGCCCACAGGGCCAGCAGCTGGTGAGAGCAAAGCCAATGCCCGTAAGTGCCAGGGACCCAGTGCCAAAACCCATGGGTTTCTCAGATCCTGCCTGCTGTAGGCAACACTCAAGCTGCAGCAGGGGCACTCCAGGACAGTCCTCATGGGGGTCCCTAGTCAGGCTGCCGACAAGCCACACACTGGGAGCCACTCGGCAGTTCTACTCAAGTCCATGATGCTAAGCCAGGGAAGTCCCTTTTTCTGAGGCATGGCTCTTCTGGCTTCAGCAGGGACACAAACCCTTCTCTGGAGTCCCTGGGCACTCCTGAGTCTTGCTGGACACTGATAGAGCCTTTTGAAGGGGCCCAAGAACCTCCCCCCAACAACTAAAAGGCCAGGAAGCAGCCTCACAAGGGAAAAGGCATGCAGGGCTAGAATGTGATTCAAGGCCATGCCGGTCTGCAAGTACCCTCCTGGGACCCATGCAGCCATCTTCTGGCTCTTGACACCCAGCAGGGCCCTTGGACATCAAAGCAGCTCAGCAGGGTTCACCTGGGTTCACCTCAGTGAACAGCCAGGGCTGCCTGGCCTGCGGCACTGGGCACAAATGGGTCCCTCTCCCATCCTTCCAGCAAGGCACATGAGCACATAATGCAATTGGCTGCAAGTCAGCCGTTTAATAGCAAATGCTCCCCTGCCCCCCAGCCCATCGTGACACCCTGATAATCCTGGGTCCACACAGGTAAGAGGGGAAGGAAGCTACGTGACCGAGGGGAGTGGGGAAGGGCCAGCTGGGCCCTTGTCCCGATGCCTGGGGCCACAGGAGCTCTTTTCTGCCCAGTCACAGGCACGACTCCCTCCGATGGGCCCAGCCAGCCAGCGCGAGTGTGCTGGGGAGGGCTAAGGCACCAGGGAAGGATGGCAGCGCCTCTGTTCTGTTGCTGGGCTTGTGTCCGTGTTCTGCCGCCACCTGGCAAGCGGCCATGGGTGCTCACACTGGTCTCGCCTTCTTGGCCTTCTTTTCAGATCGCAGCGCCTCGTCATGGGCTTTCCGCTTCTGTGCCAGTTTGTTGGCCTGCGGGGAAGAAGAGGATGGTCAGCCAGGATGGGTGCGGGCAGTGGAAGGGTTAGGGTTAGGGTGACCACAGGGCTTATTACACCTGGGAGAGGAATAGGCCCTGACACCCCCAACTCCTAGATCTCAAGACAAGAGACTCCAAGGCACCCTGAGCTGGACCACCGCACCACTCAGGCAAGTTGGAAAGCAGTCTAACCTGTCCTAGGATTAGAATGGTGGGCAGGGGGCACCACAAGACCCATGTGACAATGCAACAGTGACATGCCTTGGACAACAGCTCACAAAACCATCTGGAGGAGGGAAAGGCCAGGCCAGGCCCCAGGGGTGTTATAGCTGAGAGCGTCCCCCAGTGGCGAGGCCAGGTTCTCCCTGATTCACGGAAGAACCCCAGGGTCCGGCTACGTGAGGCTCTGTTTCAGAATAGCTGATGCAGCAGCTTGTTCACAGGGTGACTGCCTATCCATGATGTGCCTCAAGTACGTGCTACCACACTCCCAAGGAAACCTGGGGTGCTCGGAGGGCCAGCTGGGGCCACCTTTACACCATCCCTTACAAGAATTCTTGGGGAGGGACACACATTTTGTTTTCAATTTAAATGAGCATCTGTGGGGGCAGGCATCTGACCTAGCAGTTGACACTCACATTCCACATCAGGGTGTCTGGGTGCACGACACAGCCCTGCTTCCTGCTAACACACACTTGGGCACAGGTAAGCAGGCGACAGCTTAGGCAGTGGAATTCTGGTTACCCAGTTTGAAAGCTGGCCCTCCCCACTTTAGCTCGCTGCAGCCCTCGCTAGTGTGGGCACATCTCTCTTTCCTTCTCAGCCTTTCAAACAAAAGAAAAATAGACAGAATTTACCAACGAACCTGTGTGGCTTTGTAGAGACCACAAGCAATCTGGCCAGAGGCCTGTTGCATGAAAGGGACAGAGCTAAGGAAGGCCCCAGCCACACCAAGATGCTTCTGCAGGCCGCAGAAGTGTCCCCAGGAAAAGGCCCAGAGTGATCGAGTCAGTCCGCAGCCTCCCCTGCACAGCGGCCACTCACCTCGCGGATCTTGCGTCTCTTGCCGAACATGATCTTGTTGTAGAGGTACTTTTCCCGCTTCCTCATCGTCATGATGGCCAGGCGTTTGGCCTCATTCTCTTCCTCCTGGGCTAACCGCTGCTTGTCCTCCAGCTTCAGGGTGCCCGCCACCACCCGGGGTTTCTGGGGACACAGGGCGGCAGGTGACTGGGCTCAGCATGCCAGATCCTGCCCCACTGCACCCAGTGGCGCTGCGGCCCAGACTGCCCCTCACCCCTGCCCCAGCCAGCACCTCCGTACCTTCCCCTCCATCTTCTGCTCCTCCATGTCTGCCAGCCGGGCCTCTTTCTCTTTTTCCAAACCAGCCTCCACATTGTCCATCTTTTCTTCATTTTCTCTCCCTTCTTCTCCTTCATGGTCTTCTTCTTCCTCCTGCTCCTCCTCCTCTTCCTCATCCTCCTCTTCCTCAGACTCATTCATGTTTCCTACAGCCAATGATTCACAGACAGTCAGATGGGGGGCTGTTTTTTTTCCTGTGAGTGCAGGCCCTGGAACCCCAGCCTGACCAACAGCGCCAGCCAAAGGCAGCTCAGGTCTAGCCCAGCTGCAGCCCCTGCCCCTGATGCTTCTAAGGAACCGCCACAGCCCCCTGTCCTGAGCTGCCACCTCCTAGACCAACACCGGGCCACTCTGGACTGTTCTGTGCTGTCACTCCACAGGAAGCAGCACGTGGGACTGGAGGATGCAACTGCCACTTTCCCCATGCTGTCCACCAAAGCAGGTTCTGCTCACTGCTTTGCATGGAGCTCCCCACAAGCCCCTCCCCACACACCTGGGTCCTCTCCCCGCTGCAGAGCCAGCAGCTTCAGCTTCTCGGGTGGGACATAGTCCCCTTCCTTCTCGGTCACGAAGGGTGAAAGATGCGGGGGCAGCTGCACCCCGGGGAAGTAGTCCGCCACAGGGAGCAGGAGGCGGGCGTTCACGCAGTCAAACACCCACTGGGGCTGCACGTAGTACCTGGCACAGAGTGGCAGGGGACATGGAGGATGTGGGTCACACAAGGGGATATTAAGGATTTCTATCCTGGAAGCCAACAGGGTCGGGCCCTAGGGGCCTACCTGCCAACAACGGTCGTCTGCTGCCCAGGCCGGTCGACGATCTGGTGGGTGATGTGTGAGTCTGTGACGTCATAGGTGGCTCCGATGCACAAAGACTTGTCCCAGGACACGTCCCCCCCAAAACTCCTACAGATAGACACCCCATAGGGGCAACTGTGCGTGAGCCACTTGGGTCCTACTGGATTCCCCAGCCCAATGATTCATGTTCATCGTCTTGGGGCACAGTTTCTTCTCCCTACCCCAGAACCTGCCCACAGTTCCAGCCTTCTGCCCACCGTCTTCCCATGTGCGTGGCGGCTATGCTACTCGCCTTCCACGCGCTGCTTTGTAGGATGCCGACACGGATGCCACGACATCCTGGGCCATCCTGAGCCAGAGTGTGGCTGAATCAGAGCCAGTGCTGGCAGCCGGCCCTTAAGCCCCCTACCTGATTGTGAATGCCAAGGCCTCACGGGGCACCTCGCGGTTCAGGAAGAACTTGAGGCCCTCAAAGAGCTTCTTGTGCTTCTCCTGTGCCTCCATTTCCTTCCTGCGGTCCTCCTCCTGGGCTGCCATCTCCTGCAAGGAAAGCGGCCACTGCAGAAGGGCCTGTAACCCCTCCCTGGTGCCTTCCAGACCCTGCATTTTCTAAGTGCTAATTCTATCCCATATTGCCCCAACCCCCTGGATTCTGGAAGCCAGCACAATGCTCACCCCATCAGCTGGAAACTCATCCACCTCGGCCTCCTCCTCCATGGTGGGCATCACCACGCGGGCCAGGCTGGCACCAAGGGCTGCCAGTTTCTATAAGAGAAGCCATGGGGGCTTGCAGGAGGGGGTCTTACTGGGGGAAGGGCAGCAGCTGTGGCACCCACCCAGCAAGCCCCTAGGCAGCTGGGGGGAGGCACAGGGGACCCCTCCTGCAACCCCCTCACCTCCATTGAGCTCTCCGAGTCCAGGGCATAGGTGTCATCACTGCCCTTCCTTTCTACGTGGGTCTGACCTTCGAGCTGGAAAGCAGGGGAGGGTCAGTGGGAAGAAGACACCCTTGGCCCTGTGCCACCTCCATGTGGGAGAGAAGGGCTGTGGCTCCCATCCTCAAGTAGAAGGGGCTGGGTGGGTGCTACCTTGGGTGGGTAGTGGAGGTTGAGTGACTGGTAGAGGCGGAAGTTGACGAAGCCCAGCAGGGTGGTGTAGAACTCGGTGAAGGTGGCCATGACCCTGTAGTCCACATCTGTTGGGTGCTGGAGGATGGGGGAACATACAGCAGGAGCGTGGGTTCAGAGAGGTAGCATCTACCTGCCCAAGGACCACAGGGCTCCTGTCCAACAGCTCTGCTGGGAGATCAGGGGCTGCATGGCCCAATGCTGCCTGGGACCTCCTGAGCACAAGCGAGGCTCCAGGGGACAGCCCTGAGGCTGGGAGCCATCCTGGAGACATGCCAGGCCACCCGCTCCCCCTAGTGAGGAAGGGGGAAGCCAAAAGGAAAGGTAAACTGAGGTCTCTGTAGTCCCACAATGTCATGCCACCTAAGCCTTCAAAGTGTCAGCCTGGACTTTTGTCCTTAGCTAGCTTTCCCTGGCCTGGTTGGAGCTCAGGCCTTCATTATCCAGCCCCACCTCCCTGCAGCTTCTTGCCTGCTGCAGGCAGCCATGAGCACTAGGAGGTAGCCCTCCTCAGTCCCCCGCCCATCAAGACACCTGGGGAAAGCCTAGGCGGGAAGAGCAGGACAGGACTCCGCCCACCCATGCCCTGGCAAGTGGCAGCAGAGTCCCACTGGGGACTCCTCTTGGTGGACCCCTGCCCGCCTCCTCAGGAGTTCCTGAGATCCACAGGAAGGGGTGCCATGTGCTGCGGATCTGTGTGATCCCCATTCGTTCCCCTAGGAAAAGGGGAAGAGGAAGTAGGGCAGGGAAGCCAGATAGCAGGGCTCCCTGTGGCAGGCGCCAGAGAGGGCTCACTCTGCCACTGTCCAGGTGGTGGCTCTGTCCCATGCTGTCTGACCAGCTCCCCAGAGGTCAAGCACTGACCTTTGAAGACCTTCTCCAAGCTCCCACAATGAAGCTTACAAGGTGAACATGCATTGTTCAGCGAGACGCAGAGAGGCAAAGGAATGTGGCCAAGGTCACCTGGCTGATGAGAGCTGGAGCTGGGCCAGTTTAGGGCTCCCACCTAGCTCCCCACCCTCAGAAGTCAGCACACAGTTATCCAGCAAAGCCCTGTCCCTCTGTCCACCAGGACCAACGCAAGGACAGACTCACATCATGAGAGAAGGTGTAGGGTGTGATCCACACGATGGGCTGGCCGAGCACCTCAGCCTGGTAGTAAATACCTTTGATGGAGAGGAAGACCTGTGGCAAGACAGACACAGCAGTGTGAGAGCCCAGGCGGGCGGGAAGGGCTGGGTGGGCCCGGCTGGGGGGGCCCCACGGTGGCTCACCTTGCGCAGGGCACGGGCGGCGATGACATAGTGCATGAACTCCACCGTGAGCCGGCGGCAGAGCTGAATGGTCTGTACATGGCACTTGCCAGTCCGTGGGAAGGTGGAGAAGAGGAAACACATGGACAGGGCATCGTCCAAGTCCCGCAGGGCGTCGATGAACGTGGGATACCTGCAAGGCCAGGGGTAGGACCTCGTGGGCTCCTTCAGCCTGGGCTCAGAGTAGGAGTCCCTACCTCCTTGAACCACCCCAACAGCCACTTGAAGGCTCTACAGCCCAAGCCAGGTCTTGCCACCACCACCTTCTGATCTGGCCCTCAACAGAGCTGGGAAGAGACCTGGGAGAGAAGGTGCTGGTCATCTAACCAGAATGTGCCTGGTGAACCCTGAGGATGGGGGTCTGTTAAGAGACCACCACTCACCATGAGCCAGCTCTGAGCTCTATCAGGAGACCCATGTGGGAAATGGCACTTAGAGTCACCCTCACAGGCTGCAGCTCCTCACACGGCAGCCGGGCCTGGCCATGCTCCCCAGACTTGTATCTAGCTGGCAGGACAATTACAGCAGAAGGTCTGGAACTGAGGCCTGGGTGGGCCTGGAGGAGTCACAGCAAAACCACGTGGCAGAGGAGGAAGATGACAAGAGTGAAGAATCCAGGACTGCGTGGGGGCTGTACTGAGGGATGGACACTGGACCGAGGGTCAGACAGATTCTGGTCTCTTTCTTAACTATAATCCTGACCCTCTGTGGGTCACTTGGTCCTAGCTGGCTCCAGCTTTCTCTAGGAAATGACACCACTGGAATAGGCTTGGCTAGTTTAAAACTGGGTCCTCGGAGCCAGAATTATGGTGCAATGGGATAAGTCACCACCTGTGATGCTACATCCCATAGGAGCTTCGTTTTTCAAGTTTTGGCTGCTCTACTTCCCATCCACCTCCCTGCTAATGAACCTGGGAAGGCAGGAGATGATGGCCCAAATACCTGGGCCTCTGTAACCCATTTGGAAGACCTGGACTGAGCTCTAGGTTGCTAGCTTCAGCCCGGCCCAGCGCTAACCACTGTGGCTATCTGGCAAATGAACCAGCAGAAGGAAGATCTCTCTGTCACACTGGCTTTCAAATGAATCAATCTTAAAACAAACAAAAACGACTCTGGAAGTCCCAGGGCTAGGGCCAGGTGTCAAGGTCCTCTCTGCCCCAAAAGGCCATGAGTCAGGAGTGGCCTGGCAGGGCTCACACCCAGGCAAGAACGTGCTGGCACCTCTCCTGAGGCCGCAGCCAACTGGGCTCTAGGTACAGGGACAGGAACCTCAGTGGCCTGGCTCGTGCCCTGCAGATTGCTACCTGTCCAGCTTACAGATAACCCAACAGTCGAGGCACTTTCTAGAAACGGCACTGGCTGTTTCCAGGGCACTGATTGCCTTCACGCTCGGGTTATGGCTGAGGTGCTTCACTCTCCTATGTCCCCCCTAACAGCTGCTACCACGGCCTCCTGATTATAGAGAAGGGGGCTTGTTCAGACCACAGATTGGGTTCTGGCCATGCAGCCCAGCGGCCTTGGGGCTGGGGAGAACTAATGAGCAGTTTAGCAGCCTGGTCAGCCTGGCCACGGCTGAGCCCATCCATCTTGGTGATGGGCATCAGCACTCCCAGGAGAAGACAAACGTCCACTACAGCCCAGATTTCTGAACCTCCCTAGGCTGCTCTGTGCACTGTGTGGTGTCTGTATGCCACTCCATAGCAACAGAACCTCCAACCCAGACGTGAGAACAGATTGATCTCCAGACATTGCCAAACACTTCTTGGAGGGGCAGTCACTCACATGGCCCCTGGGCGAGGGTGGGCTGCTGGGAAGGTGGGCAGGGACAGTCAGGGCCAGACAGGTCTCAGCCCTCACGCAGACCCAGAACTCTGCCTTTCCTCCAGCACAGGGCTTTGGCACATGCTGCTGCCAGGGCTGGGGACATGCCCCTCCACAGCTGGCTCACAAATCTCCCTCTGATGAGCCTGCAAGTAATGTCTAACCACCTCACTACCCAGCTCCTGCCATGTGGTATCCATGGTCACTTGCAACCACACCAGTAATTTGTCAGTTGTCTGCTTGGGTGTGCCTCTTCCCAAAGCATGCAAAATTTTGGCCCGTCCCCTACCGTGTCCCTAGTGCTAGGCTGGGCCTGGCCGTGAAGAAAGACAGTGCAGTGAGAGGTGTCGACCCACTCACCGCTCCTTGACGATGTGGTCAAGTTTGTAGCTGGGCTTGTTGTCCTTCAGACGCTCCACGGTGTTCCACTCGCTCTTCCCATAGGCCTTCCGCAGCTTGCGGACAAACACCTGGGAGAGACAGGAACAGATCAACAAGGCTCCGGATGTGGGTTCCCACACGTGCTGCCTCCCACATGTGACACATCCGCCAGGCAGGAGGCTGCTCAGTGCTGCCTGCCTGCGTGGTCAGGCCCCACCCCAGCCCCCTCCATGAAGCACCTCGCCTGACCTATGGGGTGTGCCAGCATGAATCTATGTGTGCCACTGTCACCCAGAGAAACAGAGCTGGGACCAGTCCTCCCTCCCACCCAATCACAGACTTCTTTGCTCCCAAGAGCAGCTCACGAGCTGCCTGGGCTGGGATCAGCAACGGTAGCTCTGGGACAAGCCACCAGCAAAGGTGGCCGGGTCACCCGTGCACCATCAAATGTGTTCCTCAACCCCCCAAGCAGGGACCTCGCTGTCCATCAGGGCTTCCATGACCGCCAGCTCCTTCCAGGGAGTCTGCTCTGAACAGCCAGTAGGTACAATCGCTAGGTCTCTGCTTTTCCCGTGCTATGAGACCACTAAATAATCCCACTGTTTGTGGGATGGAAGGCTTGGTCCCATAGCAGCAATCTCAAGACTCAAAATAGGAAAAATGGGAGAAAAAAAAGACCAGGGAGCCCCTAAGCATTTTCCAGGTTCAGCGCCAACAACACCCAAACATCTAATGGGGGCTTCACATGGATCCTTGCTAAGTCCTCTCTGCCCTGAACAGGTGAGCTCAGAAGGGGTTGAGCACCCTGCCTGGGGTCGGTGTGCCATGGTGGGGCCCCACCAGAGGCCAGGGTCCAGACCTCACCTTGTATTCCCGGAACTTGTTGACAATGGGCTCGTGGAGCAGGAACCGGATGTCCTTGAGGAGGTAAAAGGTGCGGGCCGCCGTGGAGCCCTTGTTCACCTTCTTCTTGTGCTTGGGCTCGTGGGGATAAATACCCTTCAGGATGCACAGGCGTCTGGAGGGCAGATGCCATTCATGCCATTGGCAAAGGGACAGAACCCTGGCCAGCAATGGTGCCCAGGACCCTTCTAACACAGGAGTCCGCTGGCTACAAGCTTCCCTGATGAAAAGCTAACACAGGCTTCGCTCGAGCACCAGAAAGCAAAGAGGCAGGAAGGCTGGTGGGGACAACAAGCAGGGCAGGGCAGGGGAGATGGGGGAGTCCGTGGGGAGAGGTGGTCATTCCCACCATGTAAGAGGTAGAAGAACAGGCAGAAAGGCCATGTGTTTGCAAATTGTTGGGTGTGTCGGAAGGACCAACAGTGGGCCAGATGGGGCTGCAGGGACTGGGATGGCCAGGGCCAGGGGCCTCCAGCCTGACCTTGCTAGCCCCAGCTCTCTTCCTGCTTCCCCTCAGGCCATGCCTGGCACAGGAGGCTCCCCACTAAGGCAGAGCCGGGTAAGAATGAGCAAGGGTGCCAGAACTCCAGACTGCTCAGTGGCTTGGACGACAGTTCCCTGTCAGGCGACCCCTATGCCCTCCTCTGGTCTCAAAGCTCACCTGAAGTCAGCCAGGCTCAGCTGCAGCTTCTTCCGGGCCTTGTTCCGAGTGATGTAGTTGGTGACTGAGCCCCGCTCATACTTGGGGAAGGAAGCGAAACAAAACCAATTGTCCATGAGTGATGACCGGAGGTAGGGATGTCAACCTCAGCAGGCCTCCCGCTAGGTAGCAGAGGGGCTTCTGGGATGGGCAGTGCTCTGGCGGTGGGAGCTGGCCTACTGGGCTACAGCCAGTGAGATGCAGACCACTGAGAATCCCCATCTTCCGTGAGAGGCAAGAGGCTCAGTGAAATAACGTCCTTCAAGTCACTCAGCGTTCTTAAGAACCGGAGCTGGGATTCGAACCCAGGTCTGAGTCCAGAGCTTGAGTGCCTAACTGTGAAGCCAATATTGTCAGTCTCTCTCTCACATCCTCACCACCACCAGACTTTAGTCTTTCCCATCACCCTTCCCCCGCCCCCCCAGCCCTGTGAAATGCTGCTAACCGTGTATACTGCTAACCTATGTATCCTCTGTGGTCCCCCAGGATGCACCACAAACCAGCATAAACACCTAGAAGGGTCTCCAAGCCAGTCTTGCCCTCCTGGGGTTGATACTACCTAGCTGAATATGTCCGCCAAGGGGCACAGCAGGTAAAGCTGCTGCCTGAGATGCTGGCATCCCATGTAGGCGCAGGTTTAAGTTCTGGCTGTTGTACTTCTTATCCAGCTTCCCTTGCTAATGGCCTAGGGAAAACATTACTTTCCAAGTGCTTGGGTCCCCTGCCACACACGTGGGAGATCCGGAAGAAGCTCCTGGCTTTGATCCTGCCTACCTCCAGCCACATCAACCATTTGGGGGGTGGGGGGTAGCGAACCAGTGGATGGAAGGAAGTCTGCTCCCCTTCTCTAACTTCGCCTTTCAAATAAAGTAATCAATCTTAAGGAAAAGGAAAAGAAAATGTGTGCTATAGGTCCCCTTCTCCCCTGCTGAACACACGGTGACAGTTCCTCCCGCGTGCCGTGAGGGCGCCAGGGCAGGGGCCTGGTCTGCAGGTTCCCGCATGCCACCCCACACTTGCCACTCCGCATGACAGACGGCTGTGTATGAGCAACCCTGAGATGCAACCTTCATTCACTCTTTCCTTCATTCATTTATTTCATGTATTTGAGAGGTGGGACGGGGTGGGGATGAAAATGCACAGAGCACTGGTACATTTGAGAAAGGTCCACCATAGCGGGTGTTCAGCCCCCAAGAACTCAATCCAGATCTCCCACAGGAACCCAATGACTTGAGCCACCACCGCTGCCTTGCAGCATGTGTGCTGGTGAGGAGGCTGGGTCCAGTAACAACCCAGGCGCTCCAGCACTGAGTGGCATTCAGGCATCCTAACTGCTGGGCCCAGCACGTCTCTCCTTTAGACATTTGCTGATTGTGTATCTGGGACACAAAAGATGCATTTCAGCTGTTTCAAGAAGCTGGCTGTTGGAAGCGCTTCCCAGGCCCCAGGGTGCCACATGCAGCTCTGTGAAGCGCATCCCTTTGAACACCAAGGGCAGGCGTGGCTTCCAAAGGGATGTTTTTACTTCCTTGATACATGTGACGGGAGAAAAACTCAGCCACGCCCACGGCCATGTCTGGCTGTTTGGGTGCCACTTGGTGTCTAGTGAGTAGAGGGCTCTGCAGGGTTGCCAAGCACAGGATAGCTCGCTCTCTCACACAAAAGAACCCTCTGGCCTGTGATGTCACAATGGTTCTGAAATCTGGCCTGGAAGATCAGCAGTGGAGGCAGGGGCTGTGCCAAAGCAGATGCCGCCTCCCCTTGGGACACCAATACTCCGCTTTCAACTTAGCTCCCTAACCAGGCATCTGGGAAGGTAATGGAAGATAGCTCAGGGTCTGGGCCTGTCACCCAGGGTGGAGCTCCTGGCTTTGGCCTGGCCCACACCTGACTATTGCAGCCACCTGGAGAGTGATGAGGTAGATGGATCAACAGCTTTCTGGACTTGGCCCAATGGCTCAACTCGCTAATCCTCAGCCCGCGAGCACCAGCATCCCATGTGGGCACTGGTTCTACTCCTGGCGGCCACGCTTCCCATCCAGCTCCCTGCTTGTGGCCTGGGAAGCTGTAGAGGATGGCCCAAAGCCTTGGGAGTCTGCACGCATGTGGGAAACCCAGAACCTCCTGGGTCCTGGCTATGGATCAGCCATTTGGGGAGTGAACCAGTGGACAGAAGATCTTTCTATAAACCTGTCTTTCCAATTGAAAAAAAAAATTAACCCTTCTGCCATTCTACCTTTCCAGTAAATACATAAGTTTCATGTCAGCATATATTTATATGCTTTACATGAACATACGCATACCTGTACATATGTATACTTATATGTTATACCTTGAAAAGGAATTTCAATGGTATAGTGGGCATCTGGTCCAAGGGTCACGATGCTACATGCCAGAGTGGAGTGGCAGGGTTCAATAGTTGGTCCTAGCTCCTACACGGCAAGGTGATGGCTCATGAAACCGGGGAGCTGCTACCTACGTGGGGGGACCCGCCTCTCGGCTCTCCCCTTACAACCAGTGTGGACATCAGAGGAATCCGCAGGTGGCAGCTCGGTGCTTTTAAACACAGATTCATGACAGTTTTGTTCCCAACTGCACCTGCCCCTTAAAGGCAGGTTTGTACGTCTCGCCAACGTCTATCTTTATAGCAACAATAGCTAACACCTGCTGGACACTGAACGCCACAGTTGACACGCAAGGGTGTTGGAAAACGTTGAAGGAAATGATAACTAAAACGTAAATCCTATCTGCACATCGCTCCCACCGCATCTCCTCATGCCATTAACACGACTGTCCGACACAGGGGCGAGAGCTCGGCCCATGTTCCTCTGCCTCTGGTGGATGCCCACTCCCGGGACCGGTCCGGGGTGATGCTAAGTTTGCTAAACCCAACAACGCCACCATCCTTGACTGGATTTCATTGCGGTCCTGGCCCACGCTGGAGCCCCGCTCGGTCTCCTGCCGCGTAGGTCCGGCCATTTGCGGCGGACGTGCCGACTCTGGCGCTTCGCCCCGTCTGGGCAGCCAGGCCTCGCGCCCTCACTCACCTTCTTCTTCTCCAGCCCTCCCATGGCTCCAGATCGAGGGTCCCACGAGCGCCGAGTGGACACACAGCGCCACTTTCCACACGTGTGCTGTCTAGGACCCCGAGGGTCTCCCTCATCCCGGCGCCGTGGGGCTGCCCCTCGAGGTGCCTGTTCAAATCCAAGAGGAAATGACGGCCTTTCTTCATTGTGCCTGATTGTAAACTGAAAAAAAAATCACCGTAGCAGCTATTTCTATATATTTCTCACCTACCAGGTGTTACGAGAGTTTTTAAATGAACGTGGTTATGCAGGCAATTCTATAACTACCCTAACTGACGAGGGCTTGACAGTGTGAGCCCCGTTGCAAGTCGGGAAGGAGGGAGGTGGGGACGGAAGACTTGGAGTCTGCGCAGTGCCGTTGTATTGTCGTGGTAAAGGTTGCTAGGCGACGTCAGAAGCCGGCGGGCGCTGAGGAAACGCTGTGGTGGGAGCTTGGGGTGAGGTTGTGGTCGTCCGCTGTCGCCTTCTTTTGGTGTTTCTCATGGGGGTAAGATAGAGCAGAAGCAGATATGTTTTCTCCACAGAGGTGGAGAGAACTGGTGCCTTTAGCGTTGGCATGAAAACGGTGGCGTGCCGAGCTGCCGAGCCGAGAATACACCCACATTCGTAGTGTATTCCAAAGGTTCGCTTAACGTTTGAATACGGGAAATCCATGTTGTGATCCTCAAAGGATAAGCATAGGATTTCTCCAAATAAGAAACCTCCCCATACAACTTACTTTTTATTATTATTATTTTATTTTATTTTTCCTTTCTGGGCTCAGACTTCATGTGGAGCTGGCCTCAGAAGTTTAAATGGGAGGCCTTTGTGACTGTGACCTGTCCCCGTCATGTGTGGAGAGAGGGAGAGAGAGACGCGTCCAGAGGCATAAATTGCAGGGATTTAGAAAACTTCCAGAGAAATGCTGTGTGACCAGCCAAAGAGGCTGTGACCGAGCCATTGGACAGAATGGGCTTAAGGTGGCAGAGGCTGACCCCCTGAAGGGCCAATGTCGCAGGCTTGAGGCCCGGGCACTCCCTCAGGGCCCTAGGCTTGGTCCAAGACTATGCCACTGGCTAGAGACAAAGGAAAAAAAAAAAAGATTTTACTTATTTATTTGAAAGGCAGAGAGTTATAGAAGGAAGGAGAAGATACACAGGTACACACATCTTCCATCTGCTGGTTCACTCCCTGAATGGCTTCAGTTGCTCACAGCTGGGCTAGGCTGATGCCAGAAGCCAGGAGTTTCTTCTGGGTCTCCAATGTGAGTACAGGGGCCCAAGGACTTGAGCCATCCTCTGCTGCTTTCCCAGGCAGGATAGTAGGCAGCTGGCTTGGAAGTAGAGCAGCTGGGACAGGAACCAGCAACAGGTGGCAGCTTAGCCCCTGTAAGGATACACGCCTTGACCCCTGAGGAGACTCCCTGGGGTCTTGGCACAGTGTGTCTGCGTCGCTTTCTCCTCCATGCCTGCAGTCAAAGGGTGATTTCAATAGCACAAGCTCAGGCTCAGAGGCTGCAGCTGGAATTGTGCCGCTTCCCGCTGGCTGGCTGGTTCGCTAGGAAAAGCTCTCATTGTGAGTCTTTCATTTTCACACAGTGAGGCCTTGGCAAGACTTGGATGAAACTTAACAAAGCTGGCCTGCAAAAGCTACAGATTGTATGATTTCAATCCTACCACTTTCTGAAAAAGGAGCACCATAGTAACAGTTAACACCGGAAAGATTTATTAGGGAGTGCGGGTGCTTGTGTGTACAGAGCCTAGGATATTTTTGGAGTTCTAGAATTATTCAGTGCGAGTCTGTGAATTATATCCATGACATTCAGCATTTGGCAAAATCCACAGAATGTCATAGTAAAAATAGTGAAATTCAGATTTTTAAAGGTGTTTATTTTTATTACAAAGTCAGACACAAAAAGGAGAGAGAGAGAAGATCCTCCATCTGCTGTTTCATCTCCCAAGTGTCCGCAAAGGCCAGAGTTGAGCTGATCTGAAGCCAAAAGCCAGGAGATTCTTCCAGGTCTCCCATGTGGGTGTAGGGTCCCAAGGCTGTGAGCTGTCCTCCACCTCTTACCATGGCTCAGTTGACTAAATCCTCCCCTTGCAAGCACTGGGATCCTGAGAGAGCACCGGCTCATGTCCTGACTGCTCCACTTCCTATTCAACTCCCTGCTTATGGCTTAGGAAAACAGGGAAAAGAAGGAGAGACAGAGATCTTCCTTCCATTGGTTCACTCCCAGGTGGTTACAGCAGCCAGAGCTCAGCCAATCCAAAGCCAGGATCCAGGAGCTTGTTCTGGGTCTCCGATTTGGGTGCCTGGTCCAAAGGATTTGGGTCATCCTGCTTTCCAGGTCCCAGGCAGGGAGCTGGATGAGAAGTGGATCGAGTGGGATATAAACTAGTGCCCATATGGGATCCCAGTGCATGCAAGGCGAGGACTTTAGCCACTAGACG